CCAATGATGCTGCTTGGCCTGCTGTGTTCATCCAGCTCTACACCTTGTCATCTCAGATTCTCCAGCATCTGCAGTTCCTACTATCTCTGGTAGATACAGGTCCAGTTACAACGTTTAAAAGGCATTTGGACAGGTACATGGATAGGAAAGGTTTAGAGGGTCTTGGGCTGAACGCAGGCAAATGGAACTAGTTTAGTTTGGGAAACCCAGTCGACATGGATGAGTTGGGCCGAAGGGTCTGACTCCATGCTGTATGACTCTATAACAGGTTCAGACTGGGATTTTTTTTTTACGTTAAGCCACTGTGAGCAAGAAGTAACTTTAAAACAACGTGCTCGATTCTAACTCTGTTCTGTCTTGTTTTAGAAATTATGGTACATCACTTTTTGCACAATCCGAAGCCTTGGCTGCAGGGTGTCAACAGGTTTTGTGGCTCTACGGAGAAGAACACAATATAACGGAGGCAGGGACAATGAATCTGTTTCTTTACTGGATAAATGAGAATGGAGGTACAGTATAACAGAAACTGAGCTCAGTTCCACTTGCCTTATTTAGTTTTTGCTTTGTGGACCTTGTGCATCGACTGATATATTATTAAGGAAGGAGAATAATGACCTTGCATTTATATAGTGCCTTCCACAACTATAGGTCATCTCGCAACCAGTGAAGTACTTCTTAAGGTGCAGTCACTGTAGGAGACATGGCTGGCCATTTATGCACAGTGTGATCCCACACACCAATGACCTTATCTTCACAGTGTTGATGAGGGATAATTATTGGCCAGCACGCCAGCAGAACTGTCTCCCACTCTTCTGAAATTATGCCACAGGATCTTTTTTTAAAGGATGTTTTTCTAATCGACCTATTCAGACCTGTTATGAGACAGGTAGGGACTTGAACCCAGGCCTCCTGGCTTAGACTAAGAGTGTTCATGGGATCTTTTACATCTTGAGAGGGCTTGGTCTGTCGCCATGTTTGAAAGAAAGCAACTCTGGAATTGTTGCACACCCTCACCACTGCACTAGGGAGTCAGTCCCAGAGGAGAGAGGGATACCACTGCATCAAGGCTGGCATCTGAATAGTGGTCCAGTCTGTTGCCCCGTGACATGAACAGTGTTCGTAAGTCTTGGGACTGCAGCCATTGGAAGCACAAGGGCTTGGCATAGGCACGAGAAATTGGTAGGAGAGTGCCATCAAGCATGTCTGATTAAGCATCCTTTTGAATAAATTGCATAGCTTGGCTCAGCATTGAACTGACATGCAAAGAGGTGACCTATGTGGCTCCTATCAGGCCAAGTAGAGAAATGCCAAGACTCTGCCTGAAATTGATTGACTTAACCGCTTTATTTATGTCAGGAAATGGAGAAGGCTGTTCAGTCTCTTGGGCGTTTACCATTCAGTCCAAGTTACCATTCAGTCCTATCATGGCTGACCCCCGGTAGCCAGCTCTACATTGGGTCCCCATACCTTGATGCTGTAGTGATTGTAAGGAGGTCAGCCAAGTGGATCTCATAGAATAGGAGTTCCCCGAATGGGGCTGGTCCAATCAGGGAGCCCCAGCTGACAGATAAGAACAGGAGTGTCAGGGGTTCTGTTCACACTGAGAGCTGGCTCTGAGGGAGCTGGATCAGTGTTAAGGACTCTCCACGTGTAAATAAATGGGGACTTGGTGACTGGATTCCAACATCTGTGGAGTTTCGTCAGATACCCTAAAAGTAATTGAGATATAATTATGAGACTCCAGAGTTCTTCAGTATGAATATAAAGGGATTCCCAGTGTAGTTTTATACATAGTAAAGGAAATGAAGTTTTCCTGATCTCTTTATGAGGAGGAAGTTCCCTAATAAATGTGATTCCTTGCCAACTGCAGGTTGCCTTTGGTGCATTTCCGGAAATGTATTCATCATTTACATTCCCAAAGCTGAGATATCATTAAGTAAATAGAAGTCAGCTTAATCCTTTGAAGCATAGAGGGACCTACCTGAGATATTGCTGTCAGTTCTCCTTCAGATGTTCGTTTGGGGCTGTGCCTGTAGTGAAACACCAGCTCGATCCTCCCCAGGCAGGCACACTAATATATTCTCTAATCTGACTGCAAAAGATTTTAGGGAAAACTATGCAAACTGAATCGGTAAGGGATGCAAAATAAGGATGTAATTGTCTCAGAGCTGAAATCCTCTACCTAGTTATGTTAATACAGAGATTAATGGTAAGTTCAGTTTCTGATAGCAGACTGCTTTCTATGGTTTGATGAGTAGTATGAATTGATCTATCAATACTGGAGTGAAAAGGTTGTCAAAATAAAATATAGCTATTGAAGGGTTTGCTATTCTGCAGATTACAGGAGATGCCCTAACTTGCTACTTACTACAATGTACTTTTATGTAGCACCTTGTCTGATCTCAGGATGTCTCCTGTCACCCCTCATCGTCAAGAGTTAATCTTAATTTGAAGCCATGGTCACTGTTGAAATGTAGTAAATGTGGCAGGAAATTTTCACACAGCAACATCCCATGAGTCACAGTGAAATAAATTACTTTTGCTTTCGGCTGTGTCAAAAGAGTAAATCCCCTGTGATTTCCTGGGGTTTTTCCCACAGTGAGAGAAAGATGAGACAATATGCTAGGAATTCTGGTTGTTTTTGCATGTTAAGCTGTTGGGCTGGAGGATGCTCGATAAAGCAGTTCCTGTAATTCGCAGGGGCAGTGCACAGTGCAGTACTGCAAGGTTCACATACCATTCAAGGGGCAAAATGCATTCATTATTTTAAAGGTAAACTCAAACCCAGCCGTGAAACTGTGATGGGCATTGCTGTTGTGAAGTCTTTAACTGGGACCATTGTCCTCAGCCCTTGGCATAAGCTTCATTCTCTAGCCACTGATCAAATCTCCATTCCCTCCCTCCACGGACACTGCCTGAGACTGAACCAGACTGTTCACAACCCACATTATATCCTCTCCATTATCAAGACTACTCCATGTCAAAGATAGTCCATCTGCGCCCCTACCTCAGGCTATCTGCTTTGGAAACTCCCACTCGTGCTTTAGCATAATTTACAATGGGCTATCATCTCCCACTTTGAGCTGATCAAATCTGTGCTGTCCATGTCCTACATTGAACCACGTTCCATCCACCATTAGCCTATGCTGGTTCCCCTGTATTGGTGGTCAGTCCCCCAGTTAATTTCTATGTCTGTCCCTGACCCTGGTCCTCCTCTGTTTCTGTAATCTTCCTTTACTCTACAATCTCTCCATTCCTTAAATCATAGCTCTCACATGTCCCGGTTTCCTTCCTACTTCCATTGGTAATTGTGCATTCAACTTTCATAGCATCATAGAATCCCTACAGTGTGGAAAGAAGCCATTCAGCCCATTGAGTCTGCATGGATCCTCTGAAGAGCATCCCATCCGGACCCAGACCCACCCTACCCTATCCTTGAAACCCTGCATTTCCCATGGCTAATCCACCTAACCTCCAAATCCTTGGACACTGTGGGCAATTTAGTATGACCAATCCACCGATTCTGCACATCTTTGGACTGTGGGAGGAAACCCGAGCACCTGGAGGAAACCCACACAGACATGGGACAATGTGCGTTCTCCATGGTTTCATGGTCCTTGGATCTATAACTCTCTCCCTAACCCTCCCCAGTACTCTACCTTTCTCTCCCAGTAAGATGCTCCTGAAAGCTTGCCTCCATGACCAAACATTAGATCATTTGCCTTGTTATCTCCTGACGTGGCTCAGTTTTTTGCCCGATAAAACCCCACAATGTTTTCCGCTATAAAAAGCGTGATGTAAATGCATATTTCTCTTACTTGTGCCGGGCTGTTTTATCAACGTTTTCACTGATTATTGGTAGCCCAGCCTTCAGAATATCAAGGACCTGAGCTCTGCATTTCTGTCCCTATGTGTCTCTGTCTACTTCATTAGATTGCCCATTAATACCATCCCCTTTTGAGTAGTTATACGTCATGATCTTGAATATCCCCCTAAGTGACTAGGTGCCAAATTTTATTTGTAACGATTCTGTGAAGCACCTTGAGAAGTTTTGAAAATGTTGAAGGTGTTTTTTTCAAGTTGTTGCTGTTGGATACTGAACATGACAGGGGACATCAGTGACATTTAGCCTTGGATCTGATGAGTGTGATTCACATTGTCCACAGAAGGAGCAGCCAACTTGTACATGCACTGTCGAAAGGACAGGTATTTGTGATCAACCACCCATAGTCCCAGCAAGGCTTGAGTACATCTTGCTTGAAGCTGAAATAAGCTGAATGTATTCTTGATCCTTACGGGGGAAACAAGTGTATTTTATTTAGAACTGGCCATAGTGCACTGAACCAGCTTGACCATATATTGCCCCATGGCACTGTGAAAGTTATCGCTGGAATAATCCCTTTGGGATTTGCACATTTCAAGCATCAATCCATCAAAATCTGAATAAATCTTCAAGATCGGTACAATACTGTGAGACCAAGTTCTGAAAAGATTCTTCAGTACAACCATATTTATCCACCTGTCAGACCTAATGCCCAAGTGTTTAGAGCAAAATAAAAAGACGCTTTGTGTAATTTGAATTACAAACTGCTTGGATGTTCTTCATAAGCAGAAATGCCTGCATACACCTCTGTTGTATTCTTCCTACTGTGATATGGGTCCACTGCTGTCGAAGACCTAGCGCATGCCCCTTTTAACCTTTTACATTTGATTGTTTTCATGTCCTACTGCTTGGTCTCCCATTTGGCACCTGCCATAAATCTGAGTTTGCCTGGAGCTCTGCCATTCTAACTCACACCGAATCCTGTTTACCCATCACCTCTGTGTTCACTCACCACCACTGGCTCATATTCTAGCAGTGGCTTAGAATGGAGTCGTAGAATTTTTACAGCACAGAAGCAGGCCCTTTGGCCCGTTGTGCCTGCATCAGTCATCAAACATCCATCTGTTCCAATCCCATTTTCAAGGCCTATGTTCTTGTACGCAATGGCATTTCAGGTGTTGATCTAAATGTCTCGAGAGTTCCTGCTTCTACCACCTTTTTTTAGGCTATGAGTCCCAGATACCCCCAACTCTCTGGGTGAAAACCTCTTCCTCCAATCCTCTCTAAACCTCCTGCTTCTTATCTTTAAAACTGTGTTGCCTGGTTATTGACCCCTGTGCTAGTGGGGAGAACTCTCTCCCTGGCTATGCCCCACAGTGAGAACCCGCCCCTTTCAGCTTTCTGTTCTCTAAGGAAAACGTCATCATCTATCTAGTCTTTCTTCAGAATCACTTCAGCCCAGACATCATCCTGGTGAATCTCCTCTGCACCCCGTCCTGTGCAATCACATCCTTCCTTTAGTGACCAGAACTTCACACAGTACACCAGCTGTGGCCTAACTAATGTTATGTACAACTTAACCTCCCTGCTCTTGTATTGAGTGACTCGACTAACAAGGACAAGGAGCCCATATGCCTTCTAAACGACCCTATCCACCTGCCTTGTGTCTTCAATGAATTATGGCCT